TAATCTCAGTACTCCTCAAATTATTCCATGAAATAGAAGGGAAGAAACCCTCCCAAACTCATTCCACAAAGCTAGTATCATCCTGATACCAAAACCAGACAGAGACACATCAAGGAAAGAAAATTTCTGACTAATTTCCCTGATGAACATTGATGCAAAAATTATCAATAAAATTCTGGCAAATCGCATACAAAAACATACTTTAAAAATAGTGCACCATGATCAAATGGGGTTTATTCCAGGAATGCAAGATTGGTTCAACACACAGAAATCAATAAATATAATTCATCACATCAATAGACTTAAAGATAAGAATCATGATTATATCAATTGATGCAGAAAATGTATTTGACAAAACACAGTACCCTTTCATGTTCCAAACATTAGAAAAACCATAATGGCAGCTATTAAGACAACAGTAAGAACATCCTCAACATTGTAAAAGCTATCTATGCTAAAACCAAGGCCAACATCATTCCTAATGGAGAAAAATTGGAAGCACTTCCTCTAAAACAGGAACAACCCAGGGATGCCCTCTTTCACTACTTCTATTCAACATAGTCCTTGAAACTCTAGCCAGAGCAATGAGACAGAAGAAACTTCAGAACACTAAAGAAACACACTGAAAAAGACCTTAGAAGATGGAAAGATCTCCCATGCTCTTGAAGAGGCAAAATTAATATTATCAAAATGGCCATACTACCCAAAGCGTTATACAGATTCAAAGTGATACAAATTAAAATTCCAACATCATTCCTTATAGAAATAGAAAATGAAACCATGAAATTTATTTGTAAAAATAAGAGACCCAGAGGGGCTGGAGCTGGGGCTCAGTGGTAGCACACTTGCCTAGCATGCGGGAGGCATTGGATTCTATTCTCAGCACCACCATATACAAATAAATAAAATAAAGGTCCATCAACAACTAAAAAATATTAAAAAAAAAAAATAAGAGACCCAGAATAACCAAAGCAATCCTTAGCAAGAAGAATGAAGCAGCAGGCATCACAATACCAGATCTTTTATACTATAAAGCTATAGTAACAAAAAATGATATGGTATTGGCACAAAAAATAGACATGTAGACCAATGGTATAGAACAGAAGACACAGAGACAAACCCACATAAATACAGTTATCTCATACTAGACGTACATTGGAGAAGGTGCCAAAAACATACATTGGAGACGATATAGCCTATTCAACAAATGGTGCTGGGAAAACTGGAAATCCATATGCATCAAAATGAAACTAAACCCTATCTCTCACCATGCACAAAATTCAACTCAAAGTGGATCAAGGACCTAGGAATTAGACTAGAGACCCTGAGCCTAACAGAGGAAAATGTAGGCCCAAATCTTCATCACGTCAGATTAGGCCCCAACTTCCTTAACAAGACTCCTAAAGTGAAAAAAAATAAAGAAAAGATTTAATAAATTGGATGCAATCAAACTAAAAAGCTCCTTCTCAGCAAAAGAAACAATCAATGAGGTGAAGAGAGAGAGCCTACAGAATGGGAGCAAATTTTTGCCACATGCATGTCAGATAGAGCACTAATCTCCAGAATATATAAAGAACTCAAAAACTTAACACCAAAAAAAATAAATAAAACTCAATCAATAATTGAGCTAAAGAGCTGAACAGACACTTCTCAGAAGAAGATATACAATTGATCCACAAATATATGAAAAAATGTTCAACATCTCTAGTAATTAAAGAAATACAAATTCCTGTCTGTACACCCTGTGCCTACTCTAAGAGTTCATCTCATGCCAATAAGAATGGAGCTATTAAGACAACAGTAACTGTTGGCGAGGATGTAGGGGAAAAGGCACACTCATACATTGCTGGTGGGACTGCATTTTGGTGCAACCAATCTGGAAAGCAGTATGGAGATTCCTTAGAAAACTTGGAATGGAACCACCATTTCACCCAGCTATCCCACTCCTCGGTCTATACCCATATTAATACAGTATGTCTCAGCATACTATACTAATATAACAGCATCAATGATGATACATTCAATTCACAATAGCTAAACTATGAAAATAGTATGAAGGCTCCTCAAAATTTCAAAAACGTAACTACTACATGATCCAACTATCCCTCTAATGGGATATATCCACAGGAAATAAAATCAGGGTGTCATAGAGACATCAGCAGTCCCATGATTATGCAGCACTATTCACAATAACCAAGATATGAAAACAATTTAAGTACCCATTAGCTGCTGAACCAATAAAGAAAATGTGTTACATAAACACAATGGAATACCACTCAGCCATAAAAAGGAGGAAACCCTGGCATTTGTGACTGCATAGATGGAACTAGGGATTATTAAGTGAAGTAAGCCAGGTGCAAGAAACAAAGGCTGCATGATTTCACAAATGCATGGAATCTAGAAGAGTTGATTTCAAAGAAGATGTAAATAGAATGGTGCTTACCAGTGACTGGGGAGAGTAGGGGGGAGGAGGAATGGGGAAATGTTGATCAAAGGGTACTAAGACACCATTAAGATAGGAGCAAGAACTCCTGGGGTGCTCTTGTACAACATGACACCTACATATAACAGTTATGAACTGGGTATCTGAAAAATCCAGAGGATTTTGAATTTTTTTACCATAAAAATTTTGTTTTAGGAAATAGGTATGTTTAACCTGATCTAAACATTTCACAATGTACCCATGTATTAAAATATCACGAAACCTCATCGTGTGTATACTTTTTGTTTTGATGTATCAGCTTGAAAAAATAATTTAAGTTCAAAAATACACTGTTTAAAATCCATTTTTCTTGGCTGGCCATGGTGGCCTACACCTGTAATCCCAGCAGTTTAGAAGGCTGAGACAGGAGGATCAGAAGTCCAAAGCCAGCCTCAGCAATGGCGAAGCGTAAGCAACTCAATGAGACCCTGTCTTTAAATGAAATACAAAATAGGGCTGGGATGTCCTTCTGCTCCTGAGAACAAGCCACACAAAATGCAAAAAGGCGTTCCTTCTCTATACTGCCTCCCTCCCATCCTCCAGGATCCCTGCACACCTCTGTGACTGTCCCAGTGTGGGCCTGGAGTTGTCACCTGGGCCTGGGCTTCCTCCCCAGGACACTCCTCCATGATCCTCAGTAGGCCTCTCCTGCTTCCCAGAACCCCCTGCACATTGTGACCTTTCAGACAGCTCTTAGACAATCCCTTCCCTAGGCCAAGGTTGGGTCAGAAAATGACCATTTCCTGTCTGTACACCCTGTGCCCTGCCTCAAGCTGGGAAGTGGCTTTGCCTTAGGGGGATTCACCACCATTGGGATTTTTCTATAGAAAAATGTGTGAAGACTTTCTCTTTAAAAAACTTCCATCTTACAACTAGAGCCCTATCACAAAATAGCAAACTACTAAAATGACACATGTGACATACTTTTTTTTTTATAGGTATCCATATCTGACCACTGAGAGAATAATAGGAAAAAACTGTCAGATAAACTCTGGGGGTGCAGTCCTGTAAAGGTATCAGGGCAGAAGGAGTTAGAGCCTCCCCTCCTGGCCAACACAGTATTCCCACTCTTCATTTGGGCACCCTTTAATTTACAAACTTCAGCATCAAGAGAACCCAAAACAAAGAGCAATTCCACATGGGTACACTTTGCCTTTATGTAAATAGCATCCATAAGATGGCCTGTCATCTGACTCCCCAAATCCCATGTGCTCCCTCCTCTGCTACCTCTAGTGTTATGCCAGATTCATGGGACCCCAATAGACCTCCAGGAGCTGAAACCAGTGCAATCACACAAGAGTCGTTATTGCAAGCTTGAGCCAGGATTCACAACCGTTTCCAATGCAGCAGTCCCAGGGAGTGAGTCCTGGTCCTTTGTTAAGTGAGATTTTATAGGTTTTGGGGGGATACTCTATGCATCACAACATCATACAGCAAATCATTCCATACCGCGGGAAAGTCAAACAACAACTCTTAACATTGATTAGCACATTCACTGGCGGGAACAAGTTGGGTAGGGGTGATTGGTTAGTTCAAGAGGGAGATTCCTTTGAACTGATTGGTTTAAACCACGAGGGGTGTACATACAAAACTACATGGTTTCCCAACATGTTATCAACCACCATAAACTACTGGGGGGGGTCATCTGGCATCCCAGGTATTTTCCCTGTCTCATGCTGACTGGTGGTTACTAGGGGGTTGCTATGGGTCCTCACCTAGCCTGAGTCAGGGACACCTGGCGCTGCAGGTCTCTCATTATTTGCAGACAAGCAACTCAGCAGGGTGAGTATGTGCTTAGGAGTGCTCTGTGGGTTTTTCCAAGGACAAGGGTCATGCCCCCTTCCTGGACAGGCTTTGCTCTGAGATAGAGGCTGGTTTCTCAAAAATGGGGTCACATTAGTTTCTCACAAGCAGGAGCCATGAGGATTTGGGTGATGAGGCAGCATGGCAGGTGGTGAGGCACAGTCACTGCTGCAGGCAGGCCCACCCCTAACCCCTGGCCCTCCTCTGACTTCCTAGCAAACAGTATGAAGGAGATGATGCCATAGAACACTCTGGGGTCTTCTCGGATATGATTTCTCCAACAGTTCCCACCCACCTTCTTCTCCACATACCTCAGAGAGGGATTCCTTCTGCCAAAAGCTACCAGATCAAAGTCACTCATATCTACACTGGCTCTAAGTCAAAATATTCATCCATTAGTTTAATGGGAACAAGTCTCCACTGGCACTAGATCAAAGCAAGTGAGTCCCCATCTACATTGGCTAAAGGTGAGTGTGTTCCCTTGTACACAAGCTAAAGCCAGTGAGTCCTCATCTGCACTGGTTCAAGGTGAGTAGGTCTCTGTACATTGAACAGGAGAGGGAGGCACAGTGGTGCAGGCCTTAGAGAGGATGCCTGGTGGGCTCCAGCCCTCACTCACAGACACCCCCCACCCCGTTTGTTAGATCAGTTTTTTTTTAATCTTTAGAATATCAATTTGACTATGCAATTTGAGAGAAACAAATTTATTAAGAAATATCTCTGCCATAACAAGAGCATGGGAGAGAGGACAGAGAAGAGCAGAGTAGGGGAAGGGTCCCAGGGTAAATAGTCTCATCTGATGTCCCTGGCAGGTGAAGGCAAGGGAGACGCCTGATGTCCAGGTAGATCCAGGTGTGCTCCTGGCTGGACCCTATGTGGAGAAGCCCAACCAGTGTGCACTCTCAGTCCTGCAGCTGTTGGGGTCCACATGACCAATGCCCACATAGTGATGACAGCATCCACAGAGCAAAAGGTCCTCTGGCTGGCTGTTTCTTCGTTTGGTCCATCTGAACTGTAGTAACATAGGATTCTAATCTCCTTGTAGGAGCCTCGTTTTCGCCAACACATGAGGATGTGCTACAGCACAGTACGCGAAAGGAGGCAGCGATCCTCTGCCTCACCCGCTTCCAGCCCTTCCTGTGGCCCCAGGGACACCCTGTGGTGGCATCTTGGGTGACATGGCTGTCTGTTGATGGCCAGGGTTGGGGTGAGTTGAACATAGAGTGATGCTGGGAGGCTAACCTGGGAGTGGGGGGCTTCTCATGCAGGAAGCAGAGACTAATGGCAGGCCAGCTGGCCCTTCTGAAGCCCTTCTGCCCTGACTCCTTGGCCTCCTGAGGCTGATGATGCTCACAGGGCAGGGGGAAGGTGTGAAGGGCAGGCTCACTCGCCCTCCTCTGCGGGAGGGCAGGGGAAATGGAAGGATCCCTTCTCACAGGCTTCATGCAGCCTGCCCCCTGGCTTATCTGCTGCTGGATTATGAGATAGGAAGCCATCGCCTCATCAAACTTTTTCTGGGACAGTGACACCCAGGTACTGTAAGGGTCGTACCCCATGTCGAACAGCATTGTCAGTACTGTGGGGTCTGAGAGGTTGGGGAGGGGCACATCATGGTAAGATAAATTCTCCTCATCCTGATTCAGCCACGGGTCCGCCAAGATTTCCTCTACCGAGAGCCTTGCTCTAGGGTCCACTATCAAGATTTTCTTCAAGAGTCTTTGTGCTTCGGCCGAGACATGCTGGGGAAATTTCACCTTGGGGTGTAAGATCTTCTTCCTTAGCCTCTTCTTGCTGGATGCCTTAAATGGGCGGTGTCCAGTCAACATAAAATACAAAATGACACCCAGGCTCCAGCTGTCCACTGGGGGACCCTCATGTACTTCCTTGCGCACAAGTTCGGGGGCATGGTACTCCAGAGTGCCCCAAAACTGGGTCAGCTTCTGCCCAGGCTTGAACATGGTGCTTAAGCCAAAGTCGATGATTCGGATGTTGCCTTTGGCATCCAGCACAATGTTCTCGGGCTTCAGGTCTCCATGCAAGATGTGCATCTTGTGGCAGTAGCACACTGCACACGTGATCTGCCTAAACAGTCTCTTGGCCTCATTCTCCTGAATGCCCCCAGGCAGGATGAGGTCAAATAAAGTTCCTCTAACCCCGTACTCCATCACGATGTAGATCTGTTTGCAGGTTTCAATCACCTGAAAGAGCTGGATCACGTTCGGGTGGTTCAGGGTCTTCATTGCCCGTATTTCAGGGAGGACCAAAGTCTTCCACATGCTCCTTGGCAGGACTTTCACTGCCACCTCAGCTCCAGTGCGCAGATGGCGAGCTAGTTTGACTTGACAAAACAATCCGTACCCAATGTCCTTCAAGACCTGGTAATGGTCTGTGAAGGCCTTCTCCTGGCAGGAATAAGGCCTCTGCGACACTACACTAGTCTCACCACTATGCATCCTAAGCAGGAACACCAAATCAGGATGCTACCTAAAAAAATAAAATAAATAAATAAATAAATAAATAAAACAAAACAAACAAACCAAAAAAATAAATAAATAAATAAAAATAAAACAAGACTAAACAAGAAACCCAAATCAAAGAACCAATCTCCAAAGACCATAACCACCAACGGCCAACCACCAAGCAAATGTGCTAACTAGCTGGGAGTCCAACAGGTCACCACCAAGAGCTTCCTGTACTTATGGACAAATACCCAGCTGCAGCCACCCTCTTATACATCCAGTGTTTGAAATTTGCTCACATTGGTGAGAAATGTCCTGGTCACGCCTGGACATCACCCACACTGGCCATCTCCCTTTAGGCCACTTTCACAGTAAGAATCAGAAAGGAATCCAGAAGTTTTTCAATTCAATGGGTTATAGAAACTGACATGTATCTTTTTTAATTAAAATTTGTACAGTAGTCAATGGACTTTTCATTTCAAGTCTAGAAGTCTGTAATCACTTTGGCATTGAAAGACCTCATCAGATCTACATTCAAGGTATCCCACTTCTTTTTCTTCTATCCAACACTGAATAATGGGTGTCAAAAGGATGGTTGCACCTCACACACATCATTATAATATAACAATGCTCTGTTCCTAAGACCCTCTAGAGCATGGTAGGCACACCTACAGGGTTGACAGGGAGAAAGGGCTCATCATAATTTCCCCATAAGGTCTTCATCAGATCTCTGCTTAGAAACACTAGAGCACAAAACAGTGTGTTGAAACATTCAAAGTGATAAAAGATATACTCTGGAAGCCAAGAATCCTAGAACCAGTACAAGTGTCCATCCCAAAGCGGGAAGAAATGGAGGCATTCTCAGATGACTGGGTACCTTCCTGCTATGATAACCAAATTCATTAGACTGGGCAATTTATTAACAAATTAATTTGTCCAAGTTTTGTAGACTGGCAAGTTCAAGGTCAAAGCACAACTTTGGTTCTATGTCCTCACATAATAGAAGGGCAGAGGGTGGAACTCATTCCCTCAAAAACCCCTCACCCTTTTTCTTTCTTTCTCCTCCCCCCCCCCAACATACTGGCAACTCAACGCATCAACCCAGAGTATCACATGCTTTAAGCAAGTGCTCTGACACTGAGTTAGATCCATATCCTTTTAATTGTGAGAAAAGGTCTTGCTAAGTTGTTCAAGCTGGGCTTGAACATGTCATTTCCCCGGTTTCACTGTCCTGAGCAGATAGGCTTACAACTTCTTGTGGTTTAAAAATGAGGTGTTCCCCAAAAGCTGTTGTGTTAATGCAGGAATATTCGAAGACAAAACGACTGGACTGTGAGAGCTGTACCTAATCAGACCCTCCTAGTTCCAATGGACTAACTGGGTGGTTAGTTAACTATAGGCAGGTGGAAGCTGAAAGGGTGCTTCTCCCCTGTGTCTCCTTTAACTCTGTCTACTTCATTTTTGCAATGAAGAGAGCAGCTTTCCTTTGCTTGGTCCTTGCCCCATGATGTGCTGCCTCACATTGGGCCCAGAGCAATGTTTTCAGCCATCTACAGACTGTGACCTCTAAAAGCATGCGCTTGGGATAAAGTTTTCATCCCTAAGTTGTTCTCATTGGGTGGTGTGGTTAGTGCCAAATTAAGCTTAAAAACAGAAATTGGCTCCCAAAAAGTGGGGTCATTCCTGTGACAACTGGACCACATGAATCAGAAACCTTTAGAGATGGTTTTCACAGTTCAAAGATGGAAGCCTGAAAAGTTTTGGAATGTAGTAAGCAGAGCTTAATGAGCAATTCTGGGGGGAGCTCAGAAGACCAGAATATCAGTAGGAATGCTTACCATGCTAATGAGGTTTCAGAAAGAAATGAAGACTGTGAAATCAGACTAGAGGTCGTTTGTGTATTTTCTGTCAAAGAACTTGATCATATTTTGCCCATTTGCTAAGACTCTGTTTTAGGCTGAATTTGAAAGCAAGGGGCTAATTAACCGAGTGGAGGAAATTTCAAGATAGCACAGCATTCAGTCACTGGCATGTATATTGCTGGCAGCTTTTAGCCCACTTTACTGTGAGAATGAGGAGCAGCAAACAGAGCAAAAGGATTTTTGAAATTTGCAGTTTGGAGAGAAATGCACATGCAAAGTTGATGCTAAAGAAGATGTGATTGTTGAAGATCTTATCGACCCTAAAGACATGCTAGATTCTTTGCACAAACACAATAGGGAAGATGCTTTGAGGGTATCTCAGGAACGTGCAAGATCATACCCACTGAGAGTAGCTCCAAAGAACAGAATATTTATTTGAATAGAGATCATGGGATCTTCTGCTGACCCAGAGGATGCCTAAAATGTTGTTTCACCAGGCTTAAGTACACAGGCCCTCAGAGGAACTTCATCCTTGACTCTGCACACAATGCATACACTTGTTACATTTCTGACATCAGTGAGACAGAGTACAGATGTACGGGAGCAGCATTCTTCATGTTACTGAAGTTATGCTGCTATATGTTCACATCAGATAATTTCTCTTTCCCCTGTTAAAGGGACCCTTCTGGGAACCACAGAGAAATCCATGAAGAACAAACCCAAAATGAAAAGGGATAGGAATTCAAATATTTCACTAAAAAAAATCAAATAGAATACAATCATAGAAGGATGAAAAGCATAGTGAATCAGAGCTCTCCCTGTTCTTTTTATAAGGGCACAAGTTCCAGTGAACCACTAGCCCACTCTGTTCTCCTTATAAGGACAAAACTGCAACAGTACCAACATCCCACCCTGCTCTCCTTATAAGAAAGCAAGTCACACTGAACCAATAGCCCATCCTATATTCCCTTATGACCCCGTCTTGGGGTAAATACATCATAATAATGCCATTTCTAAAAATACATTCCTTTTTCTTAGGTCTGGGGTTGAAATCTAAACATGCATTGCAGGGATATATCAACCCACTATCTATTCCTATTTTTCTAAGAGGTTTTTAATTCATAGATGTGATTTTGCTACACTTGTCAATAAAAATAGCTTATTATATAGAAACTTTCATGTCTAGTTCATGATGGAATTTGGCCAGTCAATTTTGGGTTTCTTCCATTGTTTTATTTTGGCACTGTCTTTTCTGGTTGAATGATCTGGCAATGCCATCCTCACAAAAATAAGTTGAGAATTGCTCCCTGCATTAATGCCCTGTCCTTTGATACACTGCCAATGAGGAAGCAGAGGAATTCAGAAAGCGTTCATGGCACCTTATGGAGCATAAGGAGTGCAAACAGTAAGAACCTACAATGTTAGTTTGCTTTTAAAAATCAGCTCTGAGTGTGACCTGGGCCTGAGGGATAATTGGGGCAGATGCAGAGGCATCAGCTTTTCCCCTTCCCTCCACCAAGTGCAGCAGAGGAGGTGCAGGGCTTGACAGCCATAGCTGGAGCTAATTAATATGTTCTTGATTCTGCACTCTAATTCCTGATCAAACTTGGCAAGACTAGAAGAGAAACAAGGAGGGCCAATAAATTTTCCTGATGGAATTCATCTTCTAACATCTAAAGCTCCTAACATCTCAACATCTGTTCACTCATTCATCAAACAAAACAAGTGTTATACCTATACAGAATAAATTATGCTCATCTCTTCTGGTTTCCTAATATCTTTAATTAAAACAGAACAAAGTTTCCTAAACTAGTGACTCTCATTCTTCAAAGAACATTTAGAAATAGCAGGAGACATTTTCAATTGATATTACTGGGGGTTCCTACTGCCAAATGCTGCTGCTAAATATCCTACAAGGCACAGGACATCCCCCACAAGAAAGGCAACAGCACTAAATTAGAGAAATCCTGCTCTAAGCAGCAACTGTTCTTCTATCATGAAAAGTTAATGACATGGAAAATATAGGAGGGAAATATTCTAAAATGGGATTATCCAAATAGAACTTTCTGGAAATATTCTATATCTGTGATTTCCACCATAGTAGCCACCTGTTACATATGTTAGCTGAGCACTTAGAATGTAGCTAATGTGAATAAGGAACAGGATTTAAATTTTACTTAGTTTAAATTTCATTTTACTTTGCCACGTGAGCAAATCACTACCATAGCAGATAGAAAGATTCTAGAATACAGCTAACTAAAGAGAGATAACTCAAAGCACAGTATGAAATTCAACTATAATATTAATGGAAAATTAGCCATAATTGATATCTTAGGAGCAGCAATAAAAATGGAATACTAACAGACAATGTTGAATTGTTATTATTTTTTGGTGTGATAACTGTTTATCATCCTCATTTTTATGATAAGCTGAAGTAGTGAAATGTCATGTTCAGAGTGTGAGATTGGAAGAGACTTAGGAGAATGATAACTAAATCCAATGCAAAATTCAATAGCTGTTTCACAGTAGTGAAAACCTGAAAAAAAAATCTATAATAACTGGTATTGCATCAATGCTAATGTTTCAGATTCAATAATTATACTATGATTACATAAGATGTTGACATTGGGGGAAGCTGGGTGAAAGGGATTTGGGAACTATTTCTGCAACACTTCTATAAGTCTAAAATTATGTCCAAATACAAAGTTTAAAAAATTACCCTAAGAGGGACTGGGGCTATGGCTCAATGGTAGAGCACTTGCCTGGCATGTGTGAGGCACTGGGTTCAATTCTCAGCACTCACATAAATAAAGTAAAGGTCCATTGACAACTAAAAAATATTTTTAAAAATTACCCTAAGAGGTAGAGGAAGTTTGCAGGAAAAGCCCAAAATTGTTTGCATATTGTTAACAAAATTTACAATCTGTGCTCCTGCCTCCCCCTCCAGCATGCGTTCTCTCTTTCTCACTCTCCAGTCACACAGGGCTTCTTCTCAGCTATCACACTCACTCTGCACATGATGAGCACCCACCTCTAGAAGACAATCCCTTCCTTATAAAATCTTCCACTTCCAGCAGGCCCCTCAAGCCCAGATTAAGTTCCCTTGCTGTAATGGAGTGTTACTCAGCCACAAAGAATGAAATTATGTCATTTGCAGGAAAAT